GGTTAACAAATTGGTGATTCCTGCCAGGATTATAATTGTCTTTATTAAACTTATATGAATATACCTACTAGTTTTGACATCCTAAAAATAATCCAAGAATATCATTAAGAAGCACACTGAAATAATTCACCTTTGGAAAAAGACACATCTTATATGCAGTATAATCCTATTAATCAAATAGTAAAAAAGAATTTTAAAAACTTTTAGAATTAGATCTCTAGTGAATATAATATTACAGCATTCAGTAATTGCTTCTTAACAGCATTTAAACTTTATTTAGATAGTTATCATGAAAATGCTTATAATAGTAATAAAATGAACAAAAGCAGTAGTCGTATTATTATATTGTTTAAATTATTACTTATATCCTGCTGATTTACCTTCCGTTTTACAACACCTATTATTAGTTATTCATACTACTGAGTGCTTCAAAAAATCTTTTAATATTTCTATCTCACCCCTTACTCCTATACCTACAATCTCTGAATTAACCGAAATAATAATGAATATTAAACAGTTAAAAAATCTCATGAACCACATGACAAAAAGTTTCAAAGATCTTGCTAAAGATATTAAGAGTACACCATCTGGTTCAGGTGAACATGGTGGAAATTCCACACCAAAAGAAAGTAATATTATTTCGATAAAACCTTTCTGTGAAAATGATAATGAAGACCCTAATGACTGGATTAGAAGTTTCGAAATTGCTGCTGAAGCAAATAATTGGTTTAAAGCTCGCATGTTAAAAATTGTACCAGGATATCTGCATGGATTAGCTGCATATTGGTTTGAAGAAAATGTTGATACCATTACTTGATGGAATGCAGATGGCTATGCTGCATCAAGTTTCATACTATTGTTTTTAGAAAAATTCTTAACTGAAGAAAAACAAAATCTATGGCATCATCAGCTAAATACCCTTTGTCAAGAACCTTATGAAAAAGTAGATTTTTATGCAGGAAAATTTAAAAGATTGTTAAAGAAAGTTAACTCTTCTAATACCTTACCAGATAAATATATTGTAAGACTTTTTCTTAATGGATTATGAAAGAATATCATTCCTCTTATAGCATTTAGTCATTCCAAAAATATTGATGAAGCTATTGATGCAGCTAAACAAGTTAAGAGTGGTCAATATTATGAACAGCAATCTCCTGTACCAAATCAACAAGGTAAAAGCAATAATGCTATTAATAATCTTACTAAATAAATAGAACAGTTATCCTTAAACTATGTAACTCTCTCCAATGCGTTATCTACACAACTTGAAGGAAAACCTGAAAAAAGAAAGCCAAAAGATGATAGAAATCTTACAAAAGTTTGGGATACCAAGGCATGGGATAAAAAGGATGTTATTTATTATCGTTGTCAAGAAAAAAGACATTATTCAAAAAAATGTATGTTTAAAAAACCAGTATATCGAAGGAAATCTGATAAAAGAGAAGCTAATTATGTTGGAGTTTTTACCGATAATGAAGAAGAAGAAATTGAAGAAGTAGAGGAGGAAGAAGTTTATGCCCTCTCACGAAACAAACCTTATACTACTAATAGAAAAACTGCTTGACAATTAGAAGCAGAAAGAAAGAAACAATCTGAATCTAAAAGGGAACTAAACTTGAGAAGTAGAAAACTGATGAATTTATGGAAGTAGAAATCTCACAAATTATTACTCCTACTCAAAAGAAGAAAGTCAAATGAGGACCATCTCAAATCGATCAAATGGCCCCCTATAATATCATGCAAAATTTATTATAAATGCCTTCTTCTGCAAAAATTGGTCAGCTTTTACAAATCAAAGACGTAACCTTGCTCAAGGGTTGAGGAGGCCAAAAATTCAAGAAACAAATTATGCTAATCAAGAAAGTGAAGAAGAGAAAGAAGACAAATTTACAGCCGTTCGTTGTTATGTTAGAATTAAAAGAAACCCTGTTGTTGCTATCTTAGATTCTGGAGCTGCTGTCAGCATTATCACTAGAAAGTTAATGAAGAAAATAGGATTATTTATCGATGAACAGTCTAATACTGTCATAGTCACTGCTAATGGAGAAAGGACTAGAGCATTAAGACAAATTAAAAGGGCTCAAATTGCTATTTAAAATCTATTAATTCCTATCTCTCTACAAGTTATTGACTCACAAGATGAAACTTTACTTTTAGGAACGAATTGGTTTAGAAAAACTCATGCTAGCCTTGATTTTAGAACTAATCAAATTAGGTTGAGATATTTAGCAAAAACAATTACAGTTTCTGTAACTTCTAGTGCAAATGAAGCCCCTGTTAGTTATCCTACTATTTAAGATCAACAAGATGACGAACTAGAATAAGTTTTAGACAATTATAGAAAGAAGAATTTAGTGAAATTAAAGCATATATGGCAGACAGTCAAGAAGAATATGAGGAGGAAACTGACCTTCTACCTTTTGACTACAATTCCTAAAATGAAGAAAATCCTGTCTATTTAACTCTAGCATTTAAGGAAAAATTTGAGACTAACCCAGCAGTATTTCTTGCTGAAACTTTTAAAGAAAATATTTGGAAAATTAAAGATGACCTCCAAGTTAAACCTCTTGATAACAAGTAACAGACATTCTTTCAAAAACTAATTGATGATTATGAAGATATATGTGCATTAAGCCAAACAAAAATTGGACGAACTAGTTTGGTAAAACATAATATTTTGACCAATAATCATGATCTAGTTACTACAGGAGCTTATAAGTGTAAAGACCTAGTAAAATTTAATTTTCTCAAGAATGAAATCAAGCATATGAAAGAAAATGAAATTATCAGAAAGTCGTTAAGTCCTTGAGCTTCTCCTGTAGTTATAGTAGCAAAGAAAACTGAGAATAAACGAATCTGCATTGATTATAGAAAGTTAAATTCTATCTCTAAAAGTGATGCATATCTTCTACTGAGAATTGATGATTTATTAGAAAAATTTAGAGGAGCAAATTGGTTTTCTACACTTGATCTTACTAGTAGTTATTGGCAGATAGAAATGAGTGAAAAGGATAAGGAAAAAACTGCTTTTATTTTCCAGTTTGGTCTGTACGAATTTAATATCATGCTATTTAGACTAAAGAATGCATCAGCAACTTTTCAAAGGTTAATGAATCATATTCTTCAAGAATTCTTTTATGAATTCATTGCTGTCTATTTAAACGATATCATTATTTACTCAACAACTTATGAGAATCATATTCAACATTTGAGAAAAGTATTTCAAGTGATCAAGCAAGCAAATTTAATGATCAAGCTTAAAAAGTATCATTTTTGCCTACCTAATATAACGTACTTAAGACATGTAATTGGAAGGAATGAATTACAACCTGATCCTGCAAAAATTGATAAAGTCAAAAGCTTTTTCATTCCAGTTAACCTAACAAGTTTAAGGTCTACATTAGGGTTATTCTCATATTATCAACGATTTGTTTCAGGATTTTCAAAAATTGCCAAACCTTTAACTCAATTGTTGAAAAAGGAAGAACTGTTCTTGTAGACAGATGCTCAACAAAAGGCTTTTGATATTTTAAAAGAGAAATTAATTACTGCATCCATTTTGCAGTATCCTAATAAACTATTTATCTTATACACTGACGCTTCTGGAAATGGCTTAGGAGCTGTTCTCTCCCAAAAGTTAGAAAATGGCCTTGATTGTGTGGTAGTATATGCTAGCAGAAGTATGAATAAAGCGGAGCAAAATTATAGAATAACTGACTAAGAATACCTTGCAGTTGTATGGGCTGTGAGATACTTTCACCATTATTTAAGTTCACAATCTTTTACTATTATCACTGACCATTCAGCTCTTAAATGGTTGTAAACATCAAAAATTCTTAAAGGAAGAAAAGCACGATGGATCATGGAACTCCAAAAATACGATTTTAAAATTAAGCATAGGTCTGAGAAGCTAAATGCTAATGCTGATGCCCTCTCATAAATTAATAATGACTAAAAATACGAAGATAATACATGTGAAATTTTTATGGTAACTGTTGAGAAAATTGAAGAATCAGAAGACGAATGGTACATTTCTTTTGAATATAACTCTATTAAAGATAATGAAAAAACATGGTTTGAGGAACAATTACTTCAACAATTCTCCAACATACTCTTAATTACTGCAGTTGGATATGAAAGCCCAAAGGATGAAATGGAAGATATATATCGTAAAAATATTAAGATTAAATTAGTTATAGCCAACCAACTTATTACTAAAGGAGGATCTCAATGCACTTTTGCCTGTGATACTGATAGGATATGAAAGAGGAAAAATTCACCCTGATATGAAACTAACTTATCTAGTTAATGATGTATGGTGGGAAGAACCAGTTCTAGTTCAACAAGAAAATGCATACACTCAACTTTATGAAATGTTAGATATTATTTCCCCATCCTCTTATTAATCTCTTATCCACCTCAATATTTATTACAATATATTTATTTGAGTGAAAGCTAAAGTGTTTGCAGTGTGACAAACAACTCAAAATAGATATAATACAATATAATCATCTTTTTAATTATTTACAAAACCAAACTTTACCAGATGATTTAACACTAACTCAACAACAAAAATTAGTTAAACAATCTAGATATTTCAAAATTCAAAATAATTATTTGTATAAACATGTTCGCCAAAAGCTTCTCAGAGTTATTTGATCATATAAAATGGAAGCTGTACTTTATATGATATATAATGATCTAACTGCTGGACATTTTGCAGTGGATATAATGTTTGATAAAATCAAAGAACGATATTATTGGCCACAATTATATGAAAATATTAGAGAATATGTTCGTTCTTGCGATAGCTGTCAAAGAAGAGGAAAACCAAAGAAACATGAAGAGCTATATTCTATACCAGTCCAAGCACCTTTTTACCAAATTAGTATAGATTTTGTTAGACCTTTACCTATAACGTCAAATGGAAATAAGCATATTATTGTAGCTGTCAACTATTTTACTAAGTGGTCTGAAGCTAAAGCTGTTCCTGAAACTACTGCGGAATAGGTTGCCTTATTTATTTATGAATAAATAATTTGTCATTACGAATGCCTTGTGAAAATTCTTTCTGATAGATAAACCCATTTTAATAATCAAATAATCAAGAATTTGATGGATAAGTTTAAAATCAAACATCTACTATCAACACCTTACCACTCCTAAACAAATAGTTTAGTAGAACGTTTTAACTGTATTTTGTGTAAATCTTTAGCGAAAATAGCACAAGATCTAGATAACTGGGATCTACAAATTGCACCAAACCTGTTTGCATATTGTACAAGCAAACACTCAGTCACAAAAATATCTTCTTTTTATCTTATACATGGGAGAAATGCAACATTACCCCTGAATGATCTTGATGATCAAAATGTCACATTATCTAAACATTTATAAAATTTGATTAATCAATTACCATAAACTAGAGAAATTGCAAGAAATCGTATTGCAATAGCACAATAAAAACAAAAGAATCGTCATAATAGACAAATTGATCATCTTTATTAATTTGAAATTGAAGATAAAGTCCTTTACTATGATGCGGCTAAAGATAAGCAATGGTCTGATAAACTAAACCTAAAATAGAAAGAACCTTACTATATTCATCAAGTTTTAATGAATGGATCATATAAGACAAAAGAAATAGATGGAAGAGTGCTACATACACCTGTAAATAGAAATCTATTAAAGTCTTATCATAATCATCAAAATTGGGAACCTCAGATTGTTATATAAAGGATTGAATTCCTTTGAAAATTTCTCAAAATTTTCCAATATGACGACTTTATTTCAAGAAGTTAAGGATGATTTAATGGTTGTTAACCTAGTGGATACTAATATTCTCCCACCTTACATAGAGACTGACTCAACTGCGCAAAAAGTTAAAATTACTTATAGAGTTTTATTACGCGCTACCAGATTGAAAAATAGAGTATTAACTTTAGCTAATGCATTTTATCTTGAACAAGTAATGAAGACAGAAACTTCAAGTCCAGCTGAACGAACTCAATTTAGGAACTAAATAACCTTATACTATTGGCAGGCCTCAAAAATTACTTATTATCTTTTTAAAATTCTGGGAATCGCACAAATTAGATGTACTAGGAAAATAACTCTTAAGACAATTTATAATTTCAAATCTCAGAAGTTTAAGGATTTGGTCGACAAAGCTTATAAAATTTTTGCAGAAGCTGCAAATTTAAAGGAGGAAATTGATACCATATGAAATCAATCTTACTGCGCTACAAAGATTGACAAATGATCAATGTTATTAATATCATTAGCATTTTTAACTTAGTTAATATTTTTATTTTATTTATTTTATTTTTATATTTTATTATTATTATTTATTGTATTATTATCATCGTTAAATTATAATTTATTATTATAAAATAGTTTAGCGTTAGATAGCAATTTCTTATAATTGTATTTTTGTATAGATAGGATAGAAATTTGTTCTTGTAAAAGGGCAGAGATAACAGTGATAACTCAACAGTTCAAGTTTAAGACTTAGAATCCAAGGTTAAGGATTGCTAAGGATACAAATCTCTACAATAAAGGAATCTCTTTCTAAACTACACATATTAAAAATCCTTCAACGTGTCAATTGTGTTTATCATATTTACAAGTTGTTAAAGTTGTTTTATTTGTCTAAAATATAAACCTAAGGTTGATTGTGATAGGACTTATTCCACAGTAACTTAGTAGTTTCTCACACGTTACTCCCTGTTATTAAGTCATAGTTACCCTAAGTTTGACAGTTGAGCGTAGGGTTAATAACATATTAAAAATCCTTTAACGTGTCAATTGTGTTTATTGTGTTTATAAGTTGTTAAAGTTATTTTACTTGTCTAAAGTATAAACTTAAGGTTGATTGTAATAGGACTTATTCTACAGTAACTTAGTAGTTTCTCGCACGTTATTCTCTGTTATTAAGTCATAGTTACCTTAAGTTCGACGGTTAAGCATAGGGTTAACAACGTTCTTTTAACAATAGCCCACAAATTTTCTATTGAATTTAAATTAGGACTATTTAAAGGCTAATCCATAACTTTTGAAATATTATTTTAAAAAAAATTCTTAGCAAAACAACTTGTATATTTTAAGTCATTGTCTTATTAAAGATATTAATTATTTTTGAGTATTTTATCAATTTTTAGAATATAGTTTTTAGAATTTTAACATAAAACTTAACATTCATAATTTAATAAAAGTAAAACAACTTATTTTACCTATAACGCAAAACCTATCTCATATGAAAATTTTACTCTATTTTTTAGCATAAAGCATATCAGTTGAACTTCTTTATACTAATGCTTTACTATATTCTAAAAAAGTTAGAAGCTGTTTCTTCTGAAAATAAAATTTTGTTTTAATAATTATTAATATACTACTGTATCTATTCAACCTATTTTTACTTATAGATAATAATTAACATTGAAGTCTCTTTTAAAAGAATTTTTTTGTAGCTATAATGTTAATGTTGAAAATTTGCCCTAGAAAAATGATTTACAAAGTCATTAGATTTAATTTTATGTAGATCATATTAAGAAAGATTTTGATCGATATATTACATTGGAAAATCAGGCTAATTTATTTAATTTAAAGGATTTACAAAATTCATCTAATTTGCCTGTTCCTTCCATTTCTTCTGTATTTTCTGTATAGCCTGTTTATTCTGTTTATTCTGTTTCACCTGTAATTTTCTTAATGTCTATAATTTATTTTATTTCTTTTTATTATTTTTATAGTTTATATTATTTTTTATTATTTTATTATGTTTAAGTATATTTATTGAAATATTTAGTTAATTTATAACATAGCAATAGTTAACTGTAGCAAATTTATTTTATATAAATAGAATAATTTTTTGTTTAAATTATAAATTAACTTTTTTTATGCATTTCAAATTATTAATAAAAGAATCAATTTAAATCTATACAAATTTACTTTTCCTTTCAATGTTGTACTTCATTTAGAATTTGTTATGATACATTACACTAACTTATTATTAAGTTCGTCATTACAAGTTTGACTAATATATCTTAAATTCTAAGACGTGATAAATTGCTGAGTTGATTCAAGTATAATAGATACCTATAGAACTTAGAGAAAATCCTAAGGTCAGAAACTTCAACATGTAGAATCAACTGCCACAGCCTTTTAACTTAGACATTAAGATAATTGAAAATAAATTTGGTGACAATAAGTAGTTAAATGTCTTAAAACTATCAAGTAAGATATTTCAAGGCCCTACTATTTTAATTTTTTGGTCAAAATTCTTATTAATAATAAAGTATTTCTTTGGGTATTCTATATAAAAAACTTTGAAAATTTACTGGTAATTTTTCTTGAATAATCATTTTTTTTGACTTACTGTATTAATACAGTCAACTTTTAATATAGCGAACTCTTGATATAACGAATTTTTTAAACAAATATAATAAAAATACTCTTATTATAGCGAATTGGTCAATCAAATCTCTTAAAATCTTTACTATAGCTTTATAGCGAAGTTGAGGTTTAAGATATAGAGTTTGTTATAATAAAAGTTGACTGTATTGTTAATATTATCATATATAGTGAAGAGGAGAATATTTATAATCCTATATATTTCAGACTTTTGTATATACCCTTATTTCACAATTGTAAAATAGTCTGATATTGTCTTTCTTATTTTAAAATCATAATTTACAATGCATTAGCTCAGAAAAAAATATGTAACATATTGATCAGAGATCTGAATTTATTTATTATTATTGTCATATTGATTTTTTATTTTAGAAAATTAAAATCAGATAAATTTTGATTACATCAGTTTATACTACTTTATAGTTGATTATATAAATAATATGATTAAGAATATTAACAATTCAACTAGTTCAATTTTTTTCTAATTTTTATCAATTTGAAAGTAAAATCAAACTAGATCAGTTTGTAAACTAATTTAAAATTGAAATTAACTGAAATTAAATAAAATTTATATATATAAGCATTTTGTAATAAAAAGGAAGGAAACTATCAAAAAAATTTTTACTTTATAAGCTAAACATAATTTTACTAGTATAGATCAAAATAATATTAATATAAGTAGGAGAAGATGATGTATTGCAACCTTAGTAATCTTAATTTAGTAGAAATTAGAGATTGGAACTGGTTCTATTTCTGAAAACTAGTTTTAAATATTTTCAAAAAATTTAACCTGATTTAAACCAGTTGCAATCAATAACTAGATCAATTTGAATGTTCAGCCCAAATTGAAACCAGTTTCAAGAACTGGTTTGAATCAATTCAATTTTAAATTTTTTACGATGTTAGATATATAATTAACTTATTTATAAAGTTTTTTATTAAATGTAAAATATTATTTTTTATTATATTTTAATTATTCTAATGAAGGAAATAT